TCTAGAATGGTATGTATATAGTCGAGTCGAGTCGAGTCGAGTCAGACAAGTGTTGGAAGACAAACACATGAATATGGCAGTCGAAATAGTTTTGGACGATCGGCACATGTCGCCAGGCTATTGCGATCTATTCAAAAATAAACCCGCTCGACAGAGACTTGGGAAAATATTTGCGAATTGTTTCGCCGTTCGTTCAATAACAGAAATTCCGTATTTGAAATATGCAGCCGAAGCAAACTGTTGACATAAGTGACACACCCATTTAATAATAGTATATATGTATAATATTTGCTCGTCCGCGATCTGTTCTGTTTCCCTCTTCGCGGGAACAATTGGAACAATAGGCGGCAAACTTCGGGCCTGAATAATATTGCAAATACTGCCTTCGCTTTTCACGCGAATCGATGGGGAAATACCACCCAGATGTTTTCTGCCTCCACAAACCCGACGAGTACATACACAACTTTAAACAGCTGCCAGTCGAAAATATGGTCAGGGCCCATAGAAACTATGCAAAAGCAGAAAGATAATAATGTCTACAACTTGCTAAAGTGACAAAATACTCCTCTTCTATTATGCTTGTTCTTTATTCTTTTATATTCTGAAATACCCTGGAATTTACTGAAAGTGTATGGGCTGGATTGACATTGGGTATATATACTCTAGGAGATGAAGTTATTAACTCTAACCTTGTAAAATGAGCAAGCTCTCTTCTAATGTACGTGGTTTTTGTAATACCCTAGAATTGAGTTAATATGTTCATCAATGCATGTCACAAAAATATACATATATTTATGGAAAATTCATATGGTGCATGTGAATATTCGTTTTTGGAGTTAACTGGTTAAATCATGGAATAGCCTGGAAACATATAAAAGTTATATGCAGTACAGTTCAGAAGAAGAAACAGTTGACACTAACCTGAGAATAATGACAAAATACTTGCTTAAAAATACCCTGGAATTTATTAAACATGGTGTTTAGATATATATGGGTTGGGTATATATACATGCAACAGGAACTCTCCTCTATCCTGATGGATTAATAGCCTGGAATTTAATGAAAATGATTTTATATGGTATATATGATATATGTATATAAGCAATAGTTTAACAGAATATTTTGAGACGTTTAGTCATGTATATCAATCCACCCCTCTATCTGATGCATCAATCTCGAGAACGCTTAAAACTAGAGGCTTTGTTATCTCGTGTATCGCAGTTATCATAAAACAATTATTTTTGCCCGATGTCTATCCAATGTTCTAAAAACTTGCATTGATAAAGCAGACCTTGAACGTGATTTAAGTATTACTCATATATACTTACATGTTATTGTGAGTAATAAATATACTATATATGTATACAATATAACACTTGTATGCTCTATATGCAATCATAAAATACTAAATAACTTTCCTATATTTTCCAAATTTCTTCCACTTCGCCAAAAATAGTTCGCATAAGTCTTATGGGAAATCGTGGTGTCATTGACCTCAACACAGACTGATTAAAGTCTCATATTGTTCGTATTTCTAGCATATTGAATAGTGGATATATCCAAGTCGAATACGCCCGCCCAGAGCACTAGTTTTTGTTTTGTAGTGGAACGCGTGTGTCACATAACGGAAACGTGTTCCAATAGACGACACTAAAAACAATATCGCACGCAATCTAAAGACATATATATTATATATATAATACACATAGTAAGAGAGAGAAATTTTCAAAAATATTTATAAAAACAACTATAAATTACAGAATCAAGGAAATTATCAGCGTCAGACGCGTCAGCAAATTGAAGTCCGCCCGCCTGGCTGCCCCTTTCACTGCGTTCCGCGCGAGGCGCCAATCGCAAAGTTCAAAAAACAAATATTTTCACACACGAAAACAAAAACAAAAGCAAAACCGAAAATCAAAATTAAAACATATCCAAATTGTGACGTGGCATTAAATGATTTAATTTTGTATTCCCATGACGTGAGAATTTTAATTCGAATTACTTATTTTAAGATTTTAATTGGAACGAACTCAAGATCTTGTCAATGCAGATTAGAACTTTAGCGGAATCGAAGCAGAGTCGACAGCCCGAAAGGCCAATGACTAATGCAAATGTTTTGACAGGAAGCTTATCTCCATATATAGAGCAGCAGATAAATGTTGAATATTATTATTGTATTCTATATATCAATTGAATCAGAAATTGATACGACTCCAGTGTTTGTCATGGGTATTAATAGGCTCATCAAATGTGGACTTCCATCAAGAGTTTTATGAGTATTTAGACAAGTGTAAGACTGTTCAAACTGGAAATAAAGTTTTGGGCTTATAGAAACTGTCATTATGGCAATTATTCTTGGTCATTAGTAGATATTATTAATACCTTACATATTGTCATTGTTATTGAACTCATTTTCAACATCATAATCATTGTCATTGAGCATTACAGTTGTCATTAGTACATAAAATCTGATTAGTCTTACATAAATTATTATCTTTATTCCAATATGATAATTATTATTATTTAATTATATTATTAGTATATAAAATCGCATAGATTATTTTTATCATTATCATGATCATAATCATTGTGCTTGACATATTTGTTATCATCATTATGCTCATAATCATTAGCATATACCTATGTTACTATTACTATTGCTATATTCATTTTCATTAGTGCGTATTTATAAATAGTATTAACACTATCATATAATTGTTATTATCATTATCATTAGTAGCTATGATTGTCAATGTCATTATTGAAAGAAAAGTAGAGTTGAAGGTAAGACAAAGCTTAGGCTAGATAACTAGAAATAAGTCGAAATGAATTTAAAAACTTATTATTTTAGTAAACACAAAAAGTAATTTATCATTAGCATTATCATTATTATTACTGCTAAATATATTTTACATTAACAGCCTAAGGTTGTGTGAGTAAAACATTTTTAGCTATTTCTAGACATAATAAATGAAACACTTTAACAGCTCTTCAGTCAAATTCTGCTTTATTCTTAGTAATACAGATTTGTTCTCTAATAATACAGATAAATTCGGTTTTTAGTTACATTCAAGTTACAGTCTAAGCCTAAACTCGAATACTAACTGCTTAGTAAGTCGCATGCTGACCACCGTTTTCGGCTATATTTAGCTGTAAGCTGAGCAGCTTCTGTTTGGCTACGCTAAATTCGGTTTGTCGCACGACCGAGCGCTGTTGCCGCTTTTCTCTCAAGTTCACAGCGCAACTTCGGCGCGATTGCCGCACAGCCCGTCTTAGCCTTGGCTGTGAGCAGTAAACTGGGGCTAGCAAGAGCCAAGACAGAAACTGGTTGCCTCCGATTGCCGACGTTGCCACAGATCGCAGTGCTGCGATTGCCGTTGCCCGTTGCCAGTTGCAGTCGTTGCAGCGTTGCCGCACTTCACTTGGCTGCAAAAGAAAGCTGCAGAGCACCCGCTACAAGCGCCACTCCCCCAACTCCCCCGACGCCGCCCACTCCCCACTCGAGCCATGATCAAATAGAAAGCCGTTTTGTTTTAATTTTTTTCCACAATTATTTTCCGCTAGAGCAGGAAAAATTATATGCTTTTATTTTGTTTTTAATATTTTTTTTTGCCTTTGTTTTTGCTTTTCTTTTGTTGTGTTTGCATTTGCATTTGCATTTGCATTGTTTTTTTTTTCACAAAAGTTTTTTTTTACATTTTGGTTACAAATTTCTCACAATTAATTTTTGTTTTTAAATTACGCAATAAAAAACTTAACATTAAATACAATATGTTTTGTTGTTGTAATAAAAAAATTAATACATGAATTTTCGTGTTGTTTTTTTTTTTTATCTTTTTGTGTGTTTTTTGTTTGTTTTTGTTTTAATAAATAGTTTTCGTGTTGAAAGATAAAGATACTTTAAGCTGGTATAGATACTTTTGTGTGTGTGGGTATATTGTGTGTATGTATGTGTGTTTGTGTATGTGAGAACATTAAGTTTTCTTTGTTACGTTAAATTGTAATTTTTAGAAATTATATCGCATTGCATTTTAATTGTTAATTTTTTATCATTTTTCGCTGCTACATTTATTTTTTTATTTTTACTTTTAATTATTATTTTTTGTTGTTTTTTATCGCAATTGGAGTTTTTACACAGACAAAAAAAAAATTTTACAAATTTTTTACGCTTTCACATTTACTGAGATATTCTTTTTGCCTTAACAGTTAAGCAATTATTTTCTTTAATTTAATTTTTTTTTATTTTTAATGATTTTTAATTTGTTTGTTGTACGCGCTATACATTTAATAATATATATATATATACATACATC